GGGCGATCTACAGGGATCAGGTCCTGGAGGAGCTGACGTGGGAGGACAACAACGTCGCCTACCACCTGATCCAGACCAAGGAGCGCAACTTGTGGCGCATTGTGGAGAAGGAGACGCAGGTGGTCAGAGGCCTTCTCTTGGTGTACGTCGACGACCTTCTCGTGATGGGAGATGCAGTGGCACGACCTGGTCTTCTCAAGTGCATCCAGTCCCGGTGGAAAACGTCCACGCCCGAGACGGTGGATGACCAGGGTTGGGTGAGGTTTTGTGGGTACGAGCTCAAAAGCCATGAAGGAGGTTTGTTGTTAGGTCAACCCTCCTACCTGGGTGAGTTGCTGCAGAGGCACAACATCGTGGACAAGAAGACGGTTCCACTGCCAAAGGACGCGGTACCTCCTCCAGAGGTGGAAGAAGGGGTGACGGCGGAGGAGATCAAGAAGGCGCAGGGCATCGTGGGGGAGATCCTGTGGGTGGCCATTCGCAGTCGGCCTGACCTGTCCTATGCCATCAGCGCTATGGGAAAAGAGGTCACAAAACGGCCGAGATGGGTGCTTCGGGTGGGACAACATGTTCTGGAGTACTTGAATGGCACGATGGACTACTTCCTGCACTATGTTCCCTGTGGACCTGGTGATCGTGGACCTCATGGTGATCTTCCTCTGGAGCGCTCTACATCGTTGGTGGAGCTCTTCAGTGACATTTCGTATGCCCCGCAAGGGGAGAAAAGTGTGCAAGGCATCGTGGCGATGATTGCGGGCGCCACTGTGCAGTGGGAAACTTCCAGGCAATCGTGCCTGGCATTGTCAACGGCGGAAGCGGAGCTGTACTCCTACGTGGAGGCCTTAACTATGGGGGATTCGCTGCAGGCGCTGTGGACGGAGGTGCATGGAGAGACGCCGGAGATCGTCACCTATGGCGACAGTCAGGCTGCCATCTCCATCGTGCGCAATCCGGATGGTCCATGGCGTACCAGACACCTTCGACTCCGAGCTAACGTGCTTCGAGAACGAGCTCAACAGGGGCGATGGAAGATCTTCCACATGGCGGGCACGCAGCTGATCGCCGACTACCTGACCAAGAGCATCACGGTTCGAGCTTCCTGGGACCGCTTCCGGGCGTTCACCAACCTCCTGGAGGTCGGGAACCTGGGTGGGGTGGCTGCGGATGATGGGGAGGGTTCGCAGGATGCGGTGGAATCCATGGTGCGGGTGGCGAAGCTTGCTGCATGTTTGGCTGGGTGCGCGGCTATGACCTGGCCTTCCTACACTGCAAAGGCGGCGGTGGCAGCGGCGCTTGCGATTGGGCTGGCCTATGAAGTGAGCCGGGGTTTTAGCAAGGGTTTTTGGACGAGGAGCCAAGATCCGGGGGAGTGTTCAACCATGTCAGATAGGGAAATTCAACAAGAATTGAGATCTACTGAACACTCCACCCGGCTGCAACCTCGTTTGTGTGCCCTGCGGCCTTCGCCGGCAAGGGAAGAACAAGACCAACAGGGGTCAGAACAACGGACCAGTCAAGAAAACATAAGAAATGTTCAAGAGGCCAGAAACTCATCGGCGTCGGGCCGCACGCCACCTCCAGGGGAACGTGTCTCGGAAACTGAAGGCGCTGGGGGTTTAGACCGTAGCCTAGAGGCTCCCAACTCCACTGTGTTCGAGGTGGAGGCGGCGAACGCGAGCCATGGCGTGTGGGGGGCGCATCCAGATGAGGCTGCCTGCTGTCTTCCGAGGTGGACGCGAATGGCTTGGAGGAGATGCAGGGCAGCCGGAAGAGGTGCACTACACGAACACCAGGGTGACGCAAGAGGCCATGGACACGGGCACCTACGACATGACAAGACCGCCGATGGTGGTCACCAGTGAGGGCATCCGGACGTTGCGGCCAGAAGAGGTGGACATGGAGACCCAGACGATTCGCCTGATCCCAAATGAACGGCTGGTGGTGAAATCTCCGCCACCTGCAAAGAGGCCTCCGGTGCCCCCTCCTAAACAACCTCCTGTACCCTTTCAACCGCGTGGCTATGGGGGGGCTACATCAAGTGGTTCTTCAAGGCCGAGTGAAGCTGCTGAGCGAGGGCAGGCGGCGATGGCATCCTCAAAGGCGATGGGCACTGCCATGGGACACACTTCAAAGGCAGCGGAAACCACTCTCCAAGGAGTTTCTAAGTCGGCAGCTGCGGCGAGGAGTTCGAGCTCGACGGGACCCCCTACGCTGGAGCGAATGCGGCAGCCGGCAACTGACAGGCCGTGGAACAGGCCTGGTAAGGCTCCACCGGCGCAGCTTTTGATGCCGGTTGGGGGCTTGATGGATGATCAGTTGGAGTTCCAAAACTCGGTGTTTTGGACGCCTGAGATCCTGAATGACATTCAGGATTTGATCGAGGAAGAAGCGTTGTTCTACAAGCCAACGCTCAAGAGTGATCGATGGGATCACTTGACCATGGGTGGCTGCAGATGGTTGGTCCGCTACCATGGAAGTGCGCGGGTGCAGAGGTTTCATCCTGAGCATCGCAGCTGTCCTGAGGAGATTGATGACTTGGAGTTTATGAGAGTCACCGTCGCTTGGAAAGGCAGCGAGTGGCATCGAAGAGTGGTCGTGGACTGCGATTGGCGACGAGCAGAACTGAGCGGGCCGGGAACATGGGTCGGTTTTTCGCTCTTCCTCATGCGAGAGGGCATGAGGCGACTTTGATGTGACGTCCGAAAGCGGACGGGGGGAGTGCGGATCTTGAAACAGGACGCACAAAACGAGAAGTGTACAACTAGGTACACAAGACCACAGGCCGAAACGCCTGCGTGTTTGGCTCAAGAAAACAAAGACCGCTTTTCGTGAAGCATGGATCCAAATAGATGGTGTGGTGGTTTTGTTTTGGATGTGCTTTGTTCAAGGGAGAATCAAGACGAACAAGCCCGGATCACCATTCAATGGCCTTTCAAACATGCCGAATTGCCAGGTTCGTTTTGACAAACTTTCGGAATGGATCTATGATCTGTCGATGTTGTCCATTGTCCTTGCTGGTTCTGGGGGGATTGGAAGTGGAAAATCGATCCTGTTATCCTGTTGCCACAAATGAATTCGGCACATCAGGAGCCGAAGCGCCTTCTAGTGCATGTGGGCAAGGCAGTGACCTTGGTCTTGATTTCCAGGGCACTTCCAGACAAAGCGTCGGTCCAAGTTCATGTCGCCTCATGCAGATGGTCGAGTGTGAACTGCCCGCTTTTTGACGAAATCAAGGTGGTAAGGTGGTTCTGCTTTCCCTGCAAATTGTTCTTGTGTGGAAGGTACAAGTACCGGCCAAAAGACACAGGACTTGACACGAACATGCGCAAACCGTGGCGTGAAAGCACTTGACTGATCTTCTGGATCGTTTCATCCGAATCCATCCGAATCCCATCCTCCCCCATCGCCACACCTGCAGGTTCCCCCCTCCTCTACCCCTTGGCCTGCGTGGGGCAGACCTGGGCAGCTTGAAGGACCTATATTGATAAGTCTATACTGTAAATGTATATAAACAGTTTCTCTCTCAAAGCAATTACATAAGCCATCTGGCGGGGCTTGCAGTAACAGGCCTTGAGCAGTTCAATTGGACTCCTAAGACCCATCTTCGTGAGAGGATGTTGGGGGTGCTCAAAAAAAGTGTTGTTTTGAATATAGCTCTGTTTTTTCGGGACCGGAGGATGATGGCTTCCACCGGGCCACCAGCTTCGCATCAGCGCAGGTAGCGCTGCTTGTGCGCTGCTTCCAGCTGCCGTCTGCGCTCGGCGAAGGGATGGCGCGTCCATGGCTTCGTGACAGTTCTGCAGTTTGGGTCACTTCACTCTGCAAGTTCGCAATCTAGACAGTGGTTAGGTACCTCCATGTAGCTTGGTTCCCTGTTGAAAGGCAAATATGGATACCTCCACCTCCTTAGCTCTCTCCTAACCAACAGCTAACAATAGCCCTGTCTAGGTGTAGAGGAACCAGCCGTTCCATGGTGTGATGAAAATGGAATTGTCCCATGGAATCATAGGGAGCCTGTTGGCTTTAATTAATTCTTGAACATGTAGGGGTCTGAAATGGAAGCATCCACTGGCCATGCATGTGTACAGTGCACCTGCATGTCTACACTACAGACAGTGCGATTCTGTTGTTTTGCTCGTAAACCAAAGGCAGAGCAGAGTTCGTAGGCAGGATTGTCTGTCGGTTCTCTTTCTTTTTCACTACCGCTATGAGCGAGTCCTTCGTCTCGCTCACTATAACAAAAGGCTGTCCTTTCTTCCATTTCTCTTGCTTACCTATACTACAACAGGAGGCTGTCCTTTCTTTGACTTACTTATATAATCTATACTTAGTATACTACCGAGCGATTCATCTGTCTCGCTCGCCGATTGGAGACACGCATTTGGGATTTGGAGGATGTGCAATTTGATGCTTTGCATCTCGTATATACCATGGAAACTTTGGAATTGAAACTTTGACCTTTGTATGTTTGGGTGTTGGGATTTGTTTCCTCAGGCCTCTTTCATAATTATTGAGGTTTCCATGTGGCATGGGGCTTTTTAGATCGTACGAACTCTATTCCGAACTCTGCCAAAGCTATGTGCGGCAAAGCCTCCGCGTGAGGTGAGCTTCCGTGAAAAGCCCGGTGTTTGGCCCGAAAAAGACCTAGAGCCTTAGGGCCTCTGGCGAGGTTGAGCCCGGTTCTTCGATGCAACGAGGATCTGACTCTGGTCGCCAATCCCTTTTGCTTCGAAACGAACGAAGCACCACGTGGTCACACAGGACCACGTCGTCCGTCCGGAGGTCTGGAGCATCCGGGTGGTGGGCCCAGAAAATCGGGGAGAAGACCGGCCAACATGGTGTGTAATCTCTGGGCCAATCGCTCGTGCAGGTTCTGGTTCTGTTCAAGTTCTGGTTCCATTGGCCGGTTCAATCTCTCATTTTGGCTTCGTGATGATCTTGACCGTGGGCACCAACATTCCCCGCTCTGACCCAAGACTCTCGCATCCTGAGGTCCAGACCTTCCCACTTCCCATAGTATTTTTCTGGTACCTCCATCAGATCAAATCCATCAGATCTCTCTGGAGTTTTTTTCAGAAAAGAATGTGTCCAACTGCTTGACACAACTGGCCTAGTTGCATCAAGTCCCACAAGCTGTTGGCGCATCCAAACTGATCCAATTCCACCCAAACTCACAATTCGCGGCCTGTATCTCCATTCTGAATTCTGAGTTTCTCATGTCCATTGCATGCAAAAGATCCCAGGAGTCCAAAACCTCCTGATGTTCCTCCATTTTTTTGGGGTATAATAAGCTAATGTCTACAGGTAGGAATGGCAGTCCTCGTGCGGTTCGATTAAGGAGAGCTTCCTCGTGAAAGGAATGGTCAACTTAGACCCAAAAAGCCTGTAGGGCAAGACCACAGCTACGCCGCTACGCCGAACCTCACTCCCGAAAACGAACAGAGGACCGACCCCCCCTGCAAAAATGGTTTTCCTCTACCAGCAAAGGGGGTGTTTTCAGGGTCCAGGTTAGTCTTCCAGGCTGTAGACGATGTTTCAGGGCCCCTTCCACTGGTGGGTCCACTGGACCCGTCGCCCCGCCCCAGATCCTCTCGACTCAACATGGCTGTCATGGCACCGAGCGGACCCTGGTAGGTTGAGCTCCCGTAATTAGGTCGTGTAATGATGCTGCTTCATTCTTTCGGTGGTCAACCATTGGGTCCTCTGGTTCGGACCCTCAATCCATATCACGTGGCTCCACATCCTGGACATCTCTGGGCATCGTCACGTGGCTCCGTTCGACATTCCTCAGGACGGCGGGACGCTTCTGCTTCTCCCACGGCACAGGCGGCGGTGGAGTGCTCGTTCGGGTCCAGAAAAATCGATTGAAAAACCAGTGGAGTCCCAGTATCTCATAGCTCTGATGCTGGAGCCCCTCGTTCAAAGGCGGAGCTGCCTTGTGTCTGGCTTCAGCTTGGCTCAATGAATTATCTCTTTGTGTGCGTAAATCCTTGGAAAAGCAGTCACGTGCCCCCCTATTCCCGAAATTGAAGCTTCAACTTCACTGTGAACAGTTACTCCATCCCGTCTGGTTTCCGCAACCGTTTTGGATGCTGCAAAGAACCAATGTTGTGGAGCTATAGCTCCAAGATCGAAGGAATAAGATGCTCGATTCTTCTGCCCCGTTGCACTGCTTCAGTCATGTTGATTGGTTGCTTTCACGCAAACTGCACTACTTCATGGTCTTCTTGTGGTGTCCATATCGCTTTCATCCACCTCTGGTACCTCACAGCTCTGATGGCGTTTCCGTGGCGTTGCTGGGAAAGAACGACGTCACAGGGACCCCACCGCCTTTTTCCTGTTTGATCCATTGTGTTTCGGATGGCCAAACCATGGGTTTTAGAGCCACCAATGATCAACTCCTGGGCGGCTTGGCCACCAAGAGTTAAGCCCCCCCCGCACCAAAACCCTTCCACACGTCATAGTCCCATCCCGAGCGTCACGTTCCATCTGGAGTTCTCGTCTGTATTGGGAGAAGCGCTTCCCATTTGGAAGGCCTCGGCTTTAGCCCGCCGAAACCGACGAAACCGGCGTTCCCCTCACGTCGGGTAGGCCCGGCGCGCACGCTTCGAAGCGGCCGCCGATGTCGGTTGGGCAGCTGACGGGGAGAGGTTTGGGCTGTCGACCACCCGATCCTGTCGGGTGAACGATGCGATGCTCTGAATCCATCCGAATCCATCCTGTCTACCGATGGTCCTCGGATGGGTCGTCCAGACCTTTGGTGATCTGCATGGAAATGTCCATGAGAGTGGACCTGGACAAGCCATGGTCCTTGCGAATTGCCACCCAGTAAAGCCAACATGGAAATGCCTGTTATCTCTCGAAGGAAGTAGACAAGAGTGGATCCGGCAACCCCATCGGGTCGCAGGTCATCCACTTGGAGCCTTGGACCAACTTCGTTTTTGGGCGTCGATGCCCTTTTCCGCTGGGCTGCTTTTCTCAGGGCCCGCAAAAACTCGTGCGTGGAATGCGCGGAAGTTGGTGGAGGGAATACGTCTTCCCAAGACCCTTGTGAAACCGGTGCTGCAGTATGTTGGGTGACGAAGTAGAAAAGCCCAGCTCCCTGAAAGCATCGAGCGTTCAGGAACCAACGATAGGACGCTGCTTAAGCAGCTGAGAGGCCTTGGAGGCCGAAAAGATCCAAAACGTTGCGGATGTTGCGGCAGAAGAACCGAAAAAAATGTCAGACTCCTGGTTTCTCCCACATGAACGTGCCAAGCTGCGACCAAAAGCAGCTTCCGTATCGCCATCATGATGTCCGTCTGACAGGAGAAATCCATGGTCTCACTCTCTCAGGCTTGTGTTTGTGTACACTGTGTATGTTAGTCTATCAGCTTTTCAGAGCTGTTTGGGACTCTGGCGCTCCGCGGTCGCGCAGACCGCGGTCGCGCCAGGGCGCGGTCGCGCCACGGCGCGGTCGCAGTGACCCTCGCCTCCGAGTTTCTGTATGAGACGGATGTTGAGGAGATATAGCTCCTGGGGCCCACTTTCGACCCCCGAAGCGACGAAGCCCCTTTCGCGTCCAAAAGAACTGGGCAGAGGAAAAGGATAGCAAAAAGGCACCGCAGCGGGCCTCTAAAAAACCCCTGGCTCGAGCCATGAGTCTCGTTTTCAAGATGTGTTCATGATGAAAACCATCCCTCCGCAGCAGAGAGGTCATGTCAAATCTCACATCTCAGCAGAGGGTCTTTCGAAACCTCTAGGACCATCGATGTCACAAGGTCTCATGTCACATGTCGGGTCTCGGGTCTTTCGTGGGTGGTGAACGACTCGACCTACCTGGCCTGGCCCCTCTCTGGCGCCCCCCCTCTCCTGCCCTCGTTCTTGGCCAGTCGTCCAAGGACGAGCCGTGCAAAATCAAAGCAATGTGAATTCCATGCTTAAGCCGAGCTGCACATGATCGATAGGTTTGTTGGGAAGGAAGAAGGCAAAGGATTTGTTAAAGAAATAGAAGTGCCACAATCACGAGAAACACCCAAGACTTGGTCGCCATCTGCCAGTTACAAATAAAGCATGACCAATCTTCCAGCAGCCAGCGCTGCATGCAACTGCCGTTTCGCTAGATTTAGCTAGGTGAGGCCAAGGGCTTCGAGTGGAGCGGAGCTCCTTCCGTCACATGTCTCAATGGCCGAACCCAGTCCAAAGCTGCACACGCCAGCCAGAGCCCAACCCACCCGAAGAACCTTGACCCGCTTTGAAAGAAGCAGGGCGCAGCATGTGCTAGGCCCAAGTGACCCTTTAGAGGCCCAACTCACCCACCAGCGCTGGGTCTTGTGCTTGCAGGTCATCATTCTCTGCTTTCTCTGCTAATCTGCAGGTGCAGGATCGAGCCGTGTTCGACAGCTTAGAGGGATGATGATGAGAATCAATCTTGGGGCGCAAGGGGCAACATGTTGGAGATGCTGTGAAGATGTAGAAACGTACTATGTACATCTATGTACTGGTGTACTGAATCTTCACAACCCTCCTGTTAGCTCGTTTTCCTGCCACTTCCACCATGCAGGGCTGCAGGGCTGCAGGGCTCGTTTCAAAAGCATCGCCCTCCTGTTGAGGGCTCTGGGAGCTGAGCCCTGCTGCCAGGAGACGTCTCGTCACGTTGACAGCTCTTGTCAGGGAAGTCCTGGATGTCTTTTTCACAGCGACCGAGTGAGTTTCACAGGTTGTCTTTTTCACAGCGACCGAGTGAGTTTCACAGGTTGAAGGGAATCAAAGGAATATTCCTGTAGGTTGTATTTCCATTAGAAGTTCACAAAAGGAATATTCCTGAAGTTCACAAAAGGTTGTGTGTTGGATGTCCTTTTGTTTTTCGATGTTGTTTGTTGAAATCTTTTGATTGAACATCTTAACTCATGGTTTTGTTTTTAGAATGCAACAGGGTGGTAGACATGGAGTGTCCCGAATCACCTCTTTTCGATTCTTTTCGGGGAGAGAAAATGGACCGTCCACCATTTCGACTCGAAATTTGGGTGGAGCACATGTGCTACCACCACCACCACCACCACCACCACCACCAGAAGTATCCATTTCATGTGCTAGCCAGGAGCTCTTGTTTCCCGTTACAGCTCTTGTTGACACATCTCCGAGAGCGACAAAGGCCAAGGCCATGGATGTCTGTTTGGTTGACCCGATGGGTGGACCGCCGGAAGCCTAGAGTGGTCGGGTCTATGGTGGTCATCAAATAGATAGAAGTTCGTAGATTCCCACTCAAAATGTATTGGAAAGCGTGCCACGATCTATTTGGTGGTCTAAATAAAACATTCTGGATGTGATTCTTCAACCCTGATGTGTCTGAACCCCAAAAAGTTCTCATTCCTCTCGTGGGTATCCGCCAGGCATGTTCCAGATGCATGATGGCAAGCACTGGTTAAAAACAGTTTGCAAACCTTTCCTGAGATGTCCAGCTCGTGAAAGGAGTCATCCTGTGGAACACCTAGGCGCAGCAGAATGTGTTCTACAGGAGATGTCAACTAGCTGCAACTAGCTAGTGGTTAGAGAACCCAATAGCCGGGGATTATGAAAGCATCCAGCTCCTTGGTTCCTTCCTAACCATCAGCGTTCGACAATGTCCCATGCCACACATCCTCTGAACCTGAGGGTGCGTTCGGTGTCGGCCCAATCACATCCGACCTGCGACATATCAGCTTCAGCCTCATCAGCCTGGAAAAATGGGAGCCCCACTGCCATCTTCTTCTGCCTCAGCCTGGGCCGGACCACTCAACAGGATTTTCCTCAACAGACGTCAATTGGTCAGATAGTCCGTGGGACCCAGGCTAAGTCCGTGGGACCCAGGTGCAGGGCCACTGAGGAGGTCTGGAACGCGCCCGCGGACCAAAACGGAAGGGGCGCAGAAGACCGGACCAAAGACCGGTGCTTTCTGCTCTTGCATACCAACGCACGCTCTTCAAACATCGATTGTTTTTTAGGTTGTTTAGCGTTTTTTGACCAATGCGTGAAGTTCTATACTTTTATCTTTTAGACATGCTCGTATGGGTACCCCTTCCTTCAAGATGGCTCAAAATGGCCCCATGGTGCGAGTTATGCAGCACAAAATGTTTTGCGCTGTTGGCATTTTATGTTTCTGGTTCTGTTTCTGGTCAAAGCAACAACAACAACAACAACAACCACCACCACCACCACCACCACCTGCCACTGGCCCGCTGCTGGCCCGCTCTTGGGCGTAAGCCCATAAAATATGACGAGTCATGTTTGACAGCTTGGTGGCTTGAACCACATTTCATTTTGGCTGTTTCTTTTTCCAGTCCCTACTTGTTTTTCCCATGATTGATTGAGACTTCTTGGATGCAATTTGGTAGTCTCTGGAAAAGGAAAGGCTGTTCCAGAAGCATACATCCCACAACTGAAGCTTGCATCTTCCTGCAAAGTGGTCTTGGGTAGACATTCATCCCAAGCTTGTATCCAGTCTTAGACCTTCTGACCCTTCTGACGCCAAGTCTTGGACCTCATCATCCCACAGCGTGGCGTTCACCTGACCGTTGAGAGCACGGCCCGACGCATCGAGTCATCGAAATCGAGACTCGATCGACGGATCCACGGACTTTCTGAGATTGCATGGCTCCACCTCCTCCACCCTTTTCGCGAGCCAAAGATGAGGCCCAGCAACCAGGCAACCCCACACCAAGCGCTCCCATTGCCTTGCCACCATTGATGTGAAGCACCACGGGACCACCATCGGTGGGCACCTGTTTGCCCGCTCGTCGATTGGGGCAGGGCAGGCCGGGTTTTTTCAACCCTGCCAGTTCAGTGGAAGGAATTAGGACCATTAGGAAAAGAATCACCAGCGGTCACCAGCGATTCAAGTGATGTTCAGCGTCGATTGAGTCGTGGACGACTTCGAGTCCTCTTCGTCCTTCTTTGATCCCAATCTACTCCTACGAGTCAAAGAATCCACCGCAAAAATGTGCTACAGCTCTCCTGATATCAACAAAGAGTTTTGCTCCAAAACGACTGGACAATCTATTCCCCTCGCGGCAGACCTGTTAGATCAAGAACATCGCACACGAGGTGGCTGACGCGAACTTTTTGGACGACCAGCTCTGGATTCATTATAGATTTGGAAAACTTGGGGAGTTCTTGTGATGTTGCACAAGTCCAAAACAGGAGAATCCTCCTGTACCACCACCTGAGAGTCTTTTTCCACCAGGCTATTCTCCATGCTTTGGTGGTTCGAGGTCATGTAGGAGATCTTCCATAGTGTGCGTGTGCATGTGTACTATACATGCTAATTTCGAGCATTGATGAATGTCCACCAAGAGAACTCATCAACTCCAGAACATGGATCAAACCCTTCCGTTGCTTGCTGCGAATTCAGTGCAGAATCGTGTCACCGCACTGCATCGAGCATCTCGGCCACGGGGGAAACCTCCGCTTCGCTCACAACAGCGGAAGAATTCGGTCTTGGTGCCCAAACCACCACGTTGCACTGTTCGAGCGGCCAGCCACCTTGAGCAGAAAGGCAGTGGTAGAAATGGTATGAGAATGTATGAGATTGATATGGGACGTTGGAAAAGAACACATCTGCGACATCGGAGCTCCAAACATCAACCTCATACCGTCAACCATCTCAGGTAGTGCACGACTTCTGAGTCATTTAGAGTGTCCCCATGTTGAGACAAACGCACTCCAAAAATCAATAAAACCCTTCACCAGCCGGAAAAAATGTGAACAAAGTCGATCAGGTATCGGTTCCACAACTGTATATATACATATATTATATATATAAAGAGCAGCTGCAACCTGATCCAGAAACTCCTCATCCTCTGTTCGCCTTTGCATAGCCTCGCATTTGTGCACCATCCAGGCTGGCGTTTACTGTAATTACTAGGCCCCATCCATCTGCGGCAGAAATTGGGTGCTTCCTTGAAAATCGAAGTATCTCATCAGCAGGAGAGGACCAGGTCCAGGAGAGGACCAGTCAGGTTCCAGGAGAGGCACCAGGGGAGGACCTTGGACACCGAGCTCAGGGAGATCTCTTCTCCCGCGGGCGCTTGCCGAACTGCACCAGCCTCGCAGCAGTTCGAGGAAGGGGGGGAAAGGCGGGAAATATGCGAAAAGCCTGGTCGAACAAAGCCATGAAAAACCATAAACAATGGGAATTCACCCGGGCAAGTGGTGTGTTCTATATAATTGTGTCAAATGTTTGCACCACACAGCATCTACAAAAAGCAAGGCAGCAACTTCATACAGACCAACTGTGTCAACAAGCCACATTCACACAAAAACCTCCAACTGCTTTGGACGACCAAGGTGGGGTCATGCTTTCTTGAGCCTCATCTTTTGATGTGGATTGTTGATTGCGCACGACTGAAAATTAGCTTTTTGGGTGATTCTCATACGCCGCAAATCCTCCTTTGCGACTCTTGTGTTTGACGCAGCCTGCATGACCACGCCTCCTGCGCAAAAGTGTATGAGATGGTCATGCTTCGAGGAAACCCGAGTGCCCGGATCACCAAACAAAGTATCCTTGTCTGGTCAGTCCACTGCAAAACTGCTTGCGGGCCTGATCCTGCACACTCCACCCACGAAGCTTCAAGTCAACCTGTGACAAAGCCGGGATGACGTATGATGACATCGCATGATGAGCTTCCACCTGTCTCAATGCTTCCTTCCTGTTACACCCGTCCCTGTCTCTTCCCATCTCTGAGTCTAACTGCCTCATTCAGCGTCAAAGACGCCGTCGCCAGAGGCTCTAAGACGTCGCACCAACCTTCCTGCGCCGTTCAGCGGCGCCGGACCTGTCGGTGGGTTTGGTGGGGCCCGGTGTAGATGTCCGGTTACGGGAACAGTCCGGAGGGGTCAAGAGAGCCAGGTAGTAATACACTGGGATTCCAACCACCATGCATTTGTTGGTCATCAGCTACTGGGACTGGACCAGTACCGGACCAGTGAGACCGATTCCAACGGCCTCCAAGCCTTTGTTGGAGGCCTCCAGGCCTCCATCCCAATAGGGACAATGGAAAACACCGTGGTACAGTAGTTCCAGACACTACAGGAGCAGAGGCAGCTCTGCAGCCCTTGCAGCTCTGCTCGCTGTTTCGTCCGATTCCTCCTGTCCTTCACATCGAGACCTGTGAGGGAAAGCCCGCATTTGCAGCGCTCGATATGGGTGCCCTGGCGGGCAGGAGAAACGGGGTCCAAATCGATGCGGAGAGGTGTGGTTTTATATGGTGTTATCCATAGTTGTTGGTCCTAATGGATGCGGAGAGGTTTGGTTTTATCTGTTGATTTGTTTGACTTGTTACTTGTTGATCAAGTCTTCTAGGGGAGGCATCTTGCACCCCATGGCGCGGCAAAGAACTTCTTTTTGGAAGAAGCAAGGACACGGCTAGGCAAGACTGATGTTGGCCATGCAAAGCTTGAAATGGCAGTGTGGTTTTGTCTGGGCTTTCATCTGTACTGTAGTCGTCCCGTTGCAAGCAGAATACGAAAGGCACAACAAAAACATGACCATGCTTCTTGCTGATGCCTGGATGCCCCCCCATCTTCTCCTGCATTTGAAGGTGCTTTTGCCAACACCTTCCTTGCCTCCAATAACGCCGCGGCCGCACCAGCCACAGAGATTCCCACCTCTCGATCAAGCCAGAGATTAGATACTGGCACCATTTGGGGGGGTATTTGCAAACAATGTTTTTGGGCGGTGTTCAAAGGCTTGTCATACTGTGGTGGGAAGTATAGATGTTCAGTCTGTCCAATAAACAGGAGGTCCAACGCCTGCTGTTGAGACATCCCCAACCATGTCCAGTACAACTAGCTGGATCTCACAAAAGTAAAGGGCAGGACATCACAAGTCCTACGAGCTCCTCAGAACAAATGAATCTCATATCTTCAGTTAAGCTGGAAAACCCACAGAACGTGCCTTCGGCGGCGAGCATTTTTCTATGCACATTCATAGCTCAGACCCTGAGGTTTCAGAAATTACCAGCTTTCTACGCAAAAAGAAATACTGCAAAAAAGAAAAGGAACACGAGACTCGGACAAGTTGAGCCTCACAATCTCTGACCACGCAGCGCAGCACTCGTACGTCACGGTGTGAAGCTACTTCGATGCCTGGGCTCGGACGCGTATCTATCGGACGCGGTATGCGGCACTGGTACGTCAGGTCTTACTCACATGGAAACACAGGGGAGGAAGGTACATAGTGGAAGGATGTGGACAAGATGGGAGCAGCATGGGATGCAGCCCCTGCTTGCTCAACTTACAATGGCTATGTCAACTATGTGAACCTCACTGAGACCCAGTGCCTTTTCACACAGCAAAGGCGAGTTTACGACAATTCTTCCTGCGGGTAAGCAGGGAAAAGTCAGTATATAAAGTCATTGATGCAAATCAATGGAATCTGTGACCGCGATGAGACAGCGGCTGACCCTTGAAATCATCGCAAAACTTGGGTGCATCAAAGTGACTCCACAATTTGAAGATCGTCTTTCTATGTCTTCCGTAAACCAATCAAGGCCATTTTCCATGTGTTCATTTCCATCTGAATTATACGTGGCTTCAAAGCCCCACATCAAAGGCTTCATCATCGCCCCCGGCGGCCTATGCCCATGCCAGCCGTGTCCACCTGAGGAGGAGAAACCATCCATTGTTGGAGGACGCCCCATTGTTGAGTCTTCTCACCAGGAAAATTGATCACTGTTTTCATTCACCACACTTTCCTGGATGAACGAATTGGTAGAGGCCAAAAAGCACCCGACTCACGGAAGAGTTTGTTTCCTCACTGAAAAGCATTCGGAGCACTGTCGATCGAAGTGACGTGGCGACCAGCCCAGGCTCTGTGATTCTTGGGCCACATCATCCCACCAAAAGTGACACCCCCCCTCGCCACCCTTCAGCCACCTCGCCATCCTTCGGTCACCTGGTCACCTCCACTCCACTCCACCCTCCTCCACTCCACCCGGTGTCACCTCACATCGCTCCACACTGCAGCCACCGGCCAACAGCAGGGCGCAACCGCCGTGGGCCACGCGGAGACGCAGCCGGCTGAGCCTCGTCCGGCGACGGGAGAGACAGGCGATTGGAAGGGAAAGAGGAGCCAAAGGGCTGAGCAATCCGCCCAAAAAGGGCCGAGCATCTCAGCCAAAGGGTGTGACCAGTCGCGGAAAAGACCTCAAAAGACTAAAAAAGCAAGCTGGACAATAATCATAATAGACCTGTTTTAGCGCAGAAAATGCTAGGTTGAGCGAATGATAATTCCGGAGGCTCCGTCAACGTTTCTGAGCTACGGCAAGACCAATTCCCACCATACCACAAGAAATATAGATCACTATGTGATGGTATCCTATGTGAGTGATTACCTATAGTGTTGATCACTATATGTGTTGATTACTATTCCATACCACCAATATGGTCGAAATAGCTTGGTCTTATAAACCTCACAAGCACTCAGAAGGGATGGTTGTAGAGTGGCCCCACTACAACGCCCAAGGTGGGAACCACCAACCAGCTCATGCTTTGATTCACAGGTATATACCACGATAACTCAATGTTAAATGCATCTACAGCTACAACTATAACTTCATATTAAATGCATCTAAAATCATCGAAATACTGGAGAGATCTGGAAAGGTGACGTCACAAATGGATGGGTGTCCTCATATGTTGACCCCGACCCCAAGACGCCGAGGTCGGTCAACCTCCACCGAGATCGCTGAGTGCAAGCACACGACCGAGCTCATGGAAGGCCCAGCTGCAACGATGAGCCCCTCGGAGAGTGTGAATCTATGGATGTGTAGTGCAACAGCTTTTGGGGTATGGTGAAGCTATGGACAGAAGGACAGTGCATCTATGGACCCCAGGCTGAGACTGCTGGGTGACAAACGAGGAAGAATACACCAAAACATACGACCAAAGATATGACCAAACCCAGCAAAAGGGCGAGACCCTCGTTATTCTGATCTATAGGCCTATGGGTACCATAGGGATCGAGGGCGAGATGAAGGCCTCAGCTCCTGCCATCGGGTACACCCCATCCACCCTCCCCCCATCTCCCAACCTCGCCCTCCAACAAGGCGGATGCATCGGCTGGACCGGCAATGCAAATGGCCTGGAAGATGCAAGATCGATGTGCCCACCCAAATGGAAGCCTTCGAAATACCCATAGGACCCCTCCAGGACCCGAATCCAGAACCATTCCAAGGGCAGGAAGATGGAAGCAGCCCTTGGGTTCAATATATCCATACATCAGCATCCCCATCCTTCCCACACCCAAGAGTTCCCTTGTGGCATGACACATCAAGCGCAGGAGAGCCGCCGGTTTTTGCCCAGAAAATCAACAAGAATTGGCCGAAAAGCCTTCAGATGCATACAGTGCATACCAGGTGTCTTCTTCACCTTCGGACATTTCTTGGAGAAGCTTCACAGAATCAAGCAAGACAACGTGGCTTGGCTCCTACAAGTACAATCGTGTGTGTGTGTGTGTGTGTGATTGTGTGCGTCTTACAATTCTTGTTTGAGTCCCATGAAACGGGATTGCTTCAGGGACCACACAACCGGGTCTTCAACAGGGCAACACACATACAACTCCTTGGCCAATGAAAAGACCTCTACCCATCCTTGTGACCCATTAGCCACCTGAGTTCTACCGCGCCAGCACTCTGTCGCACTCTGACGTACTCTGACCGGTCGCTGTGTCCCCGCTGTCACACCTTGTCGATGATCATGGGTTGAAGCAAGGCCTCTCTATGGTTGGACCTGGGCAATGCTTGGAAAGCGAGTTTGAGCTCTCATCGTCTCCCTATTAACATGTGGCACTCAAAAAAAAGGGAAGATAAGCGCAAAAAAATAATAGACGTCCCTCCACAAGGTCCTTTAAGAAAAATCACCAGACCACTCACTCACTCGAACCATTTGGAGATCGCATCGAGACAAGGACGAGCGCGGAACATGGGTCGGGCGAGAGGACCCAGCGCCGAACATGGCGCGGCGGGAAACGCGCTCTGCTTTTCACCATCTGCGCTGTGCCAAGTAGGCCTAAACATCTTCATTACTCCCAGGCCACAGCGAAAACGAGCAGCCGCAGGAGTTGCTTTGTGCATGCCTTTGTGAATCATGGCCTGTCCGTGAAAACATGGCCTGTCTGCAATTTTCAGAGTACATTGCTCATACGAAGGCACTCTGGGACTAGGTCCATTTCAGGCACCAAAGACCTGTCACATTGTCACTTCACCAAAGACTGGAAGAGCTTGCTTCGTCGGGTCTCATAGGAAAGCAATTGAACATTGTAACATCAATGAACATCCTACAATCGATCCTGATCGATCTGCTTTCAGGTCCACAGGCCGGAGTTCGAACGCCCGAAGCGGTTTTCTGGGCCCAATGACCCACCCCCTCCGGTGCGGTCAGACTCCTCCGGTACAGACCTCCGATGTTCGGCCGCCGTGGCGCGGCTTGGCCGCACCCGATTTGGCGGCCGAAGAACCGGTCAGGTCCGGGTGCCGTCAGCTCTCAGTATCTCCGATTCCCTCGAACTCATCACCTTGGGAGGGTGGGGGGTGCAGGGCATGCCATGTGAATATGATAGACATGGCGCAGACTGTCCGCAGACTGTCTGGCGAAAGACATGATAAAGACATTGATTGGGAGAGGCGTTCCCCAGCTGCCGCTGCCCATATGCTACGTCGTCGTTAATCCCACGGGTAACTCGCACGGGTTAGGGGGCAACACTGCTGACCATCAATCCTGTCAGCGTAGAGTCATCCCGGAGTGGATAGAATATAGATGAATATGGTAAGATCCAAAAAAAACATAGGAAGGTAGTCTTGCTTTTGGATTGGTTCATATTCTATCTACTCCAGGATGACTAGATGTACAAGTCAAACATGACAAAACATGTGACCCTCTGCCCGGCTCTGCCCCGCTGTCTATTCAAGCATCCATCGTCGACGGCAAAGTCCTTGGCAAGAGTGCGATGTCTGGAGCCTGAAAACCTGCCTCGGCCCATTCTGAGTTCTTCCATGTTGAACAAAGTGGGCATGGAGCCGTCCAGTTGGTCAACGATTCACCACCGGGAGGCCATCCCGGAGCCAGCTCTTTGATGGCCACCCAACAGCATCAAACGGCCAAGCTTCCCATTGCTCTCGAGGTGGTCGCTCTTGTGGCTCCTTCTCCTCCACTCTCGCTTTCGGAAGCCTCGACCGCTGAAAGCACCAGCACCACCACCCACCCACCCACCCACCCACCCACCCCCACCCAAGATGTCACAAGGTCTGGTAGGTCTCGAACTTTGGCAACCACACGACGATGACGAGGTGCTAACGATAATGATGCCCCTTCTGATTCCCGTACATATCCTTCTCACATTCCTGTCCCTGTAGCTAGTTCAAAAGGCTTTGGATGGCTTTGACACCCAATCCTGCCCTCCCCACCCTCCCCACCCTGCCCACCCCCACCCTATCCCATCCCAGCCACGGTGGGATCCTCTGATCCAAGGGCGGCAGACGGCTCAGCAGCTTCTTCAGCGGCTCGGCCTCGGCGGACTCGACACGTCCGGCGGCGTCGTCACGGTCCGGTCAAAGGTGTGAAGCAAAGGACCGATCAAAGGGTGTGAGTTGCCGAACAGGAGATTCACACCTGGTTTGTTACATGTCGACCATCGGACCATTGTCACCTGGTTTAGTAATAACAGCGGAGTTACCGCTCTGGTGTGTTTTTTTGACATGTAAAAACAACATCGGACAATCAAAGGTGTGGGTTCTGAGGACCGTCACGTCCGCCGTCCGGAAGAACTTGGCGTTTCTCGCGCAGACCTGGCGGAAGTCGGAGAGAAGTTTGCCACGTCGAAAGCTGTGAGCAGCAGGGAGAGCACTTGGGATAAACGGATTTGGCCTGAGTCTGGGAAACATGTAGAATCTAAGAAATCCTAAGAGACTTTGTAAAATATGCCACCATTCTGAAGGCCTGCCTGTACAGGTTGAGTCAGGGGGGATTGTCCAATCTTGTGGTATTTTACCTGTCTGCCACGAAACTATCAGCGACCATCGCACGATCACCATGCCTCCTCCATTGTAGGTCTCTTCTTGGGATCTTTCTGCAAACACATCTCAATGAGATCTAAGAAGAGGTGCGAGAGTTTCCTGCCAGTCACGCACGGCTGATGAGAAGCAACAGATCTTGCGGGCTGTCTATTGATGTCTTTTGAATTGAAAGGGATGGTCTTCAGGTGCTCTCATATTCCTCCCAGACCGAATGCAAGAGGGAAAGGAAAGGCCTTATGAAGCCTTGCAGCAGCGTAATACACCACTTTCAGAATCAATCAATGGAATTATTCTTGAATCATATCTTGTCACCTGGCACTCTCAAATACAAAGAGAAGCATCCAGCCAATGATTCGGCACTAGTGATATCTTGATCGTCTCTAGTTGTGAAAAAAAGACTCTATTCCCATGGCCCCCATCGCCATGGCCTATTTGCCTTGGGCGGATCCTTTTCGATGATGATCTTCATGACCTTTTCGTCAAAGCGAACTTTCTCCGCTGCGACGCGGAACGAGAGAATCAAAAGCGACAAAATGTCTGCTGATCAAGCGTTCCCCGTTTGTCCCGGCGATCAAGTCTGCCCCCTCACGAGTTTGACGTCTCTTTCTCAATCCATCCAAAGAAATGCCTGATGGAGCTTGGAGCTGGGTGCCATCCCACTTGAGAAGACAGGATGTTTGATCCTTGGTCCGACGACCTTCTTGCTGGGGGAGGCAAGATTTCGCATCCCAAAAGCCCAGGGAATCTCTCAGATTGGTGGTTGACCATGCACCCACAAGATGTAAACGAATGGCTTCGGTGTCTTGTGTGTCTTGATCGGGGGCGAATAGCTAAGGGGTTTTACAAAAGCACCATCTTTGCCAGGAAGTGCCACGATCCATTTCGATTGAGAACAAACGGAAACGGTTGTGACATCCAGCCATGTCTAGATGACCGCGGTCCGTGCCTTCAGAGGATGCATCCTTTGGTAGGGCGCTTCCCCCGTTGCCAGCTCGATGCCAGTGATGCCTTGGAAGACCGGCGCCCCAGATCAAGCGGATCACATGAGCTGGTTGCAAGAATGGGATCATCACATACCCATTCAGAGATCTCAGATGTTGCAAGAATGGGATCAAGAATGGGAAATCGCAACAACCGGTACTGTCTCGGCACCAAGCCATAAGACCAAATATCTGCCTTTCGCGGCCACGATGCAGATATGAAAATAGGGTAGAGGAGTGGTGCCAGGCATTCGACTTTTGAGTCCAGTGCGGTAGATGCATGCTAAATACCATGCGTTTGCTCTAGCTACAAATCATCCAGCTTGAAGCCAAAGAGGTTCTGCCAAGATTTCTGGTCTCTGCCCAGGTCCCCAGGTCGACACCCATTGTACCCCGCGAACCCTCGCGCTGCCTTGTAGTCATAGCCATGGGTTTGCTCTAAGACCTGCTTTAGCCGGACGACTCGATTCGTGGCAACGCTTTCTTCGGTGCAAGCCGCCTCCCTTCAATGGCATCGCCCATGCTATCTGTCTAAACGATTCTGACATGCTTACGTCCGTGGAAGCCACGCTTTCTTCGGTGGAGAACCCATCTTCCCCCCGAACGGAGAACCCAATTTGGACCGAAAAAGACTCCCAGTCATTGGAGAGCAGCCTCCCGGTCATCCAACCAATCATCCAACCGGTCATCCGGTCAGTCCTCTGGAGCCATCCAGCATGGAGTGCCCACGAAGGTTTGTCGCTTCTTGTCGTCCCTGCAGGCGACCGGTACGACGTCCAGCATCTCCCATGCACAGGGAGGCCACGGGGGGTGGCTTCCTGTCCGCCGCGGGGGTTCGCGCTCACCCCGCGCGTGCTGGGTATGTCCACACCATCGTGCTGGGCATGTCCAAAAACGCCTGTCCTTGGGCGGCCTCCGGTGCCATCGGGTGCCCCGGTGACCGGACTCGGGCCTCAAAGGTGCGGCAACACCAAAGTCTGACAGAAAAACCTGGCCGGTGGCGCGGCCAGCGAACGCGGCGGGGCTGTCTCTGCTGCGGCACAAGCTGCGGCGTAAGCTGGGAGTTTTCGGAGATCCGATTGAAAATCGGGCGCCCAGGCTTTGGAGTTTGAGGATCTCAGGTTTTGAGGAAGAGTGCTTGATGATTTGCAGACCCAGACTCTCCAAACAACTTATATAACAGAATTCTCCATATGAGGGTCCAATCCCTCCCCAACTTTGATGTTGTTGGTCATTCTTCAACGGTTCTTTGGGCTAAGCCAGTGATTTCGTTCATCTTCAGCTTTGTCTGTTTCGATGTTGGCTCCAATTCTGCACTCATTGTTATTTCTGAAACACCTGGGTTGCCCGTGCCCTAGCATCAAGGCTCAGGAGGATGTTCCCGGCTTTCAAGTCCCGGTGAATCTGCATGTTGTCGTGAAAGTACTTCACAGCCTTCCCATCGACGGCTGTCAGACGAAGTCGGCGCGGCGACCCCCCCATCGATGCTGACGGTCGGAGTGTGTGTGTTTGTTTGTTTCGTCAGGATGTTGGCTCATCACAAAGGGGCCGGTGTGGTTGAAAGGGGTTGAAAAAGGCACCCGGGGTCGCTCGGGAACTTTGGGAGCGAAAGGTGTGTTCCATCGCATGTGTCTTCAAGAGGGACAAACACCAAACACAAAATCTGCAAGAAGGAGTTCAACATGCTTTTAATGTCTCGTACATGGTTTGCACTGTGACCTCCCAACTAAAGGCCCAGCACCAGGAGCATGGGAGGGCTTACTGAACCTCAGATGACCAAAAGTAATAATGAATACATATGAGTGTATGTGGAAGTTGTCCAAAATTACTTCTTCTCACAGAACTGGCCACTCGAACCTCGTTGTCTTCTCACCGAACCGACCGGGTTGACCGGTCGCCGGTTGGAACATATGTCGACCGGTGCAGGCGAGGAAAGACTTGCGAGACAAACACTAAGGCTGTGGGCATGTAAAGCCTTGCCCAAGGACCATTTCGATTACATCCATGTGTTCTACATCGCTCATGTCTAATCAAATGACCAATCCAATGTCAAGATTCTCCTGTGAATCTGTTTATCATATCCAGCAAGATCTTCCACCATCCCAAACCAACGCATGTCTTCAAATCCTGAGCAAAATCCACAAAACACGCCTTTGCAACCTCACGCAGGATGTAAGAAATGACACCTTGGCATTGTTCGCAACTCGACTCAGAGAAACATGGTTCTCTTTGTTCAATTCCGATCCTTCTCGTGACCTCAAGCAACCGCCTGAACCCGTGTCACACGGTCTTTCTACCGCAAGAAACTGCTAGCCACCATGCGGAAGCCAATTCTCCCTGCTCTGTCTCTTCAAGCCTTGGTGGCATGTCAAAGCCAAGCGTCTCTCATCCTCAAAACCCATTGACTGCCCTCCAGTGGCCCTCATCACCTGGCGCTGCGAATGCTAGCATTCGCATGGTTCTCTTATATATAAACCTTTTCCCAGTTCTCGAGCGAGAGGACCCGTCATTCAGGAAGCTGTCGCGAAAGGACGGTCGGTCGCTGCCTTCGCGTGGCGGAACAAGCCCACAAACAAGCGGTCTTGGAGAACAGCTCCTTTGAGGGAAAAACAAATGGTGACCTCCAATGAAGAGGACCTCCAGGGTGGATCATGAATCATATCTCTACAATTATTATATAGTTTTAACTTCTTTTGGACCACTGGGGTGACATCCACCAGATACCCATGAAGCCCTTGGCCGCGAACCGGACCTCCTCTCCCAGCATTGGGATTCCGGGCGTAGGCGCAGGAGCCGCCCTCCAGCAACGGCATGACCTCGGACGGGGGGCGCGACGACAACGAGCTCGCCCCGGTCGGTGCAGGCTGAACCAGGGGGGGCGCCTGAAAACATGGACAAGACCATGTAACAGAAAACATAACTTTATAACTGGCTCAACCACTAATTGGAAGGATGGTGGTAAGAAGGGGCGCGGCCTTCCCAGGAAGGATTGCCCCTGGAGCGTCATCATCGACGGTCTCGACGGTCGCAGTCGCATCATCACAAGAGAGCACGGCTGTTTGTTTCGCGTTCATCACCATCGATGGTCGCAACCCGTCTTTGATGTTTCCAGTCGATGGGTGCGTCTGTTCGTCGCAGTTCGGTTGACGCGCCGCGTCCGCGCGGCAGCCCGCGTCGCGAACGCCCGCGCGCCGTTCGTCCGCGCCGTTCGTGGCCCGGACCAACCACATTTGCCGCTTCGCAGGGAAAGCCACCTGAGAGACGTCCGACTCGACAGGGTGCGGAAGCCTTGGAGAAGGGAAGGAAGTCACAAGAGTGGGTTGGGCAATAAGCAAGTGGATCTCTTCCCAACAAAATGGAGTCTTTTTGTAGGCCTATGTTCTTTTGAGTACGAGGTGTTTGGAGAGATGTTGGTTCCTGTCTCTCATGGGACTGAGAAAGTTTAGAGCCATAATTACTCAGCATGCGCGAGTCAAAACAAGTCCCACCCTTCGCTGCCTTCGCTATGCCGCTTCAAAGCGCGCGCTCCTGGTGAGTCTGAGCACGTCGGACTGTCCTGTCTCACCAAGAGGCGTGGTAGGCAATGACATTCTCATGGCGACACATCCTCAGACTCCGATCGCAGCGAGTCGCAGCGAGTCGCTGCGCTCTTCCCCCCACAGTGGAGTCTGCGGAGGCGACACTCTTTTTCAAGCCGTTTGGGAAGAAATATGTTTCAATCATCCTCAGTGGTGGCAAATCCGAAAGACAAGGAGAAGTCCATCGTCATACCTTCATGACGCTCGGTGTTTGTAGAGTATTGGCACTGGTGGATCTCGTAGAAAAACCTTCAGAGGTGGGGAGGCCCTGGCTTTGAAACCCTCAGAGGTGGGGGGCTTTGGCTTCGAAAACCGCACCGGAAAAAAAGAAAAGCCAAGGGTCTTCATCATTTGCAGCTCTCGCCGAATTTCTTCAAGGCTCGAGTCAGCAAACCTCCAAAGGTCGAACCGGCGGCACCCCGTCCCGGTCGGTCCCGCGCGCCGGTCGGTCCGGGCACTGAAAAGGGTCAACCAAGAAGCGAGGATGGAGAGCACATGGATGCCACCAAAACGGCTTACACCAGAACGAGGAGTGCAGGTGGAAATGTCACGATTACACAATTACACTCTGATTGACCGTGGAGCTTCGGGAAAGCGAGCTGCAGGTTGTTCCAAAGTCATTGTTGATCACCAGACAAGAATTGGTTGGGAATCTGGGAAAGCATCAACGTCAACATCAGGTGATCAAAATCGCAAACTCCATTCTGGAGAATCCTCCAACATACCAGTGTTTCGTGTATCTGCTTCGATTCCAGAATCTATGTAAGTGTAGCATCATAAATGGTCGTATAATATGTGTCCAAATCACAATTTGATTGTGAAAATCCCCCCCAAAACGGAACTGGGAGTCGAGCTTTTTGAAACTTCCCCCACTACTTCAAGTCCCAAGTGAACACCACAGGAGCACATCGAAGATATACCTCCAAGGCACTCCTCCAGTTCGATCACCTTCACAGCCACCTCCGAACTCGCGGCAGGGCCTGAGTTCACTTTGGCCTGGCTGGAAAGGTGGAAAGGAGTCGGAAAGGTGGAAATGCCAGGATCAAACACAGGATTGCCATAAACAAAAAGGGTGCCTGATCTGAAGTATTGGAATTCCCGGTCCTGACTGCTCTTGTGAACACGCGAACGGGAAATCTGGTGGGTACACCACTGAATGGACACTACTGTACCATGGTCCAGTACTGGTGTCACACAGATTGAGCCCTCAGTACTCTTGCTATAGGAAAAACTGCCAGTGTCACAGATTCACTGAAAGGGCAGAATGGACCACAGCCGCAGGCATCCACACCTTTGAGCATTCCTAAACGTTGCTTTGGAACGTTTCCGGATGCCTTTGATCCCCAGAGGACGAGGTAGACCCGTGGTTGACATCTCCCTGGTAGTTCCATCAGCCCTGTTACTGGGCCATACCAAGCTGCCCCCGATATGTCTGGAACATTGTCAGTCAGATGTCATCTTCGAATGAAAACACAATAAGAGTTCGTGATCCAAGACCTCCAGTGATCAGAGTTACGGGAAAACGCCTGTTTCTCAGTCCATTCTTTTTGTGGGCTTCGTTCTTCTGCGAGAACTACCACTACATGTTCATCGACATTCTTCAGAGTCAACCTCCGTCTTTCGCAGTGATTCTCTTCAGACGAAACCAAGCTCCCACGCCTTGTAGACGGTGGCGAAGGCACCGTGGCCAATGCGTGAGAGCAACGTGTAGCCTCGGACCCAAAACCACCACACGGGCCTCTCCTTCCAAAAAGAGGCACGGAGATGAGCACGATCGAAAGCTCAAAATGTCCAGAGGACGTAACTAGGGTATGGGGCTTGACCCACAGCATTTGGGGGAGTGATGGTGTAACAGTGTATCAAACGGTGTAACAGTGGCGCAATCAAGGTGATGGGGCATACTTCTTGGCTTCGAGGCGATGAGCGATGCCCCGTGTTCGGTTCCGAGGTGCGACCACGGTCGCTGGTGGATCATTCTGCAAGTACATGAGGCTACAAACGACCCTGAAGCAGAATACAAATCAATAGAGCAAAAAAATCATGTGATTGTTTCGATCCATCCTCCTGGATCCTCGTATCAGTCATGAGACCGAAATGCCCATGCCATGATACCTGAGACCTCACCCGACCAAGGCACCATCCGCGTTGCTGGGCCACTTCGTGGAGGTGTCCGCCGAGTAGCCCCCCTCCATGGCCCCTGGAGTGAGGGAGTGGAACGGGACCGTTCTCCCACGGATGAGTAGAGGCGAGAATAAGAGGTTCTCCACGGATGGTTCTCCATTGTTCAGCTTGATCTGATCCAAGAGTGGGATGTGATTAGAGGTTCTCTCCCATTCCTGGTGGTTGTTCTTCAGCTTGATGGTGTGATCCAATGTGATCCATCAGTGGGATGATTGACTGGGATTCTGGGGACTGGAGATTACCCAAGGGATACATCACATCACAGCACAACAAAAAGGCACTTGAAGCACCTGGCTCAACAGCAACCCCAAGGTACAAGTGAAACAACCCCTTGCAATCTGCCACCTGGTGCTGACTTGCAGCCCATCTGCGTTGAACTTCGAGCTCCTTTTTGTTTTGGTCTACAAGTTCTGCGTGTGGGTCAAAATATATACCGGGTGAAAAGCCTCAAAACGGATATGAGAGAGAAAGGGAGGGAGAGCGGGTGTTGGTCTGTATTTTATCTATCTATCTATCTATCTATATATGCAGGCAAGTGATGGGCAACTCTTGCCGCAGACTCATCCGATGGATCTGCTCCAAGCAGCCTGGAGCCGCCGCCGATCCCCGCGCGTTCAGCGCGCTGATCCGCTGTGAGCCGGCAGCGGGAGCCAGCGGGGGGGGGGGGTTGGGGGACAGAACTCAAGAGTCATGTGCACGTGGGGGGAGGGACAACTGGTGTGGTCTTCTTCAAAAGAATGTGTGTATGTGTGTGTGTGTGTGTGAGCTGTCTCGTATACAATATATCAACTCGCAACTCGGGCAAGCTTCCACACCAGCCTTACGGACCAAGCAGTCCAGGTGTCCGGGCTGGATTTGAATGAGTGTGCCGTCTTTGGCACTTTCTACCGCAGAGGCCACTGTTGGACAGGATGCAGATGGCACCACCTCTGCGGCAGAGGCTGCCCAGAAGAATCCCACTCCGGTCGACCGCGGGGTAGAACACGCACTCGTAACATCCACTCGCCACGTCGGTGTCTTCTCAGTAGTTCGCACGTGCGCCATGGTTTCGCGGTGTTTGGGGGGACGAGTTTCACCTCGCCTGCACTGGCACTGCATCTTCCACCTCCGCAACAACGGCCGGTTCCGAGACGCTCGGAGTGTCAACCGCCGATCGTCCTCAGCATCGAACAAGGCACCCACGCTCCTTTTTCGCCGAAGCCGCCGGTGGATTCGGCGCGAAGCGCCGCGCGCCAGGCGGGCGGAACAGCGATTCATTCGGAGGAGTCACGCGGAGAAGGGCAGCCCTTTGTCCGCCCGAATCGTCGCCCGGTCCCAGGTCCCCGCTCATTCCTTGAAGAGCGAGGGATCTCCTTGGAGCGCCTGAAGGAACAAAGGTTGAAGAATCACATCGCGAGGAAAATACTTGTAGGTGGTGGATTTCTTGCAGCTTATAAGCGCTTGAAGGTTGAGGTGTTTATGTAACCGAAATTAGTCTGATTGTCTTCCTCATGTGGATCTCTTCCCTTTGACAAGAGATAGCCTTGGCTTGTCCAAGTGCACCAGTGCTGTTCATGGAAGAAAGACATTGGCATCACCTGTGCAGTTCATTGACTAAACCACGAGAAGTGAAGTACCCTGCTTTCCCTGTGCAGTTCATTCATCATCAGTAGGGCCATATATGGGGCATGGTGCTTTGGAAGGCGCCAAATGCCCAAACTTGGCAGCAACAACGACAAAAACAGCAGCGGTAGAGACACAAGTACTGCCTCATCTTTGAGAAACAAAAAGAAGGGGCAAAACATATGGATCTCTGCTTTTCCACCGCTTGACACCCTCTTATTCTGTTTGTGTCTGGCGCGTGAAGAGGCCAAACGCATGGAAGGCTGGCCGTCCTCTTCGTAGAGCTTGGTTTCGATGGGGACCGTCACCTCGATCTTCTCCCAGGTGGATTTCTTGCACCTCCCCTCGGTGCAAGAAATATAAGGACATCTACCAAGAAATCAGAAGACCTGGCATTGAGGCCTCAAGAGTTTCCGATCATGTTTTAAAGTGATTGGTGAAGTGATACCGTGAAGTGATACCATGATGGATTCACCTAAGTGATGGCTCTTCTGCTTGCTGGTTTTCGATTGTGGTCGTCCGTCAAGTCCGTCACCATGGGTCGTTTCACACGCTTCACCTCTCTCTGGGCGTCGGAACCAGCTTCAACTTGAGAGCTTTCAGCGCGGATCCTTTGCTACCGCCTGAGACCACAAAGAGTCCTTTTGGGACACAAGAGCACACAGAAGAACAAACCTGCTCTTGGAAGGTCAATGGAGTTTGGCCAGGCCTAAATCAATTTCGCCTCCTTTCTTGTCCCACAGCAGGCATTGAGCCTCGAGGGCTTTCGTTGGAGCGTTGCTGATCACTCCCGTAGAAGCATCAGCTGGTTCTTTGGGTGTCAAAGATTCACTTACTCTCTGTACATGGGTACAAACGAATCGAACATGCAGAACACGCATCCCCAAAACCCCTGGCGGAGAAAGGAAACGTACGCGGACTGCCGCATGCAAGTTTGACACAGTCTAGAGTCTATAGGTATATGTATCTTTAAGAAGCTTTGATCCTCAATGTACCCTCGAGCACCACTACCCACAGCTCCCAACCCCCAGCACTTGGAGCCGGACATGGCGAGCTTGGGTGCCAAACATCAAACGACCAGTCTCTCCTGCGATGTTGTGTGGTCTGAGCGTCTGACCGTGGCAAATGAAAGAACGCGTGGCATAATTGACCGTGGCATTGGTTTCGCATTGGTTTCGTGATCACACGAAGAATGATCCAACGAAGCATAGAATGGTCAAAGAATGGCCAGAAACAAATCTCTTTGACCAGTCCACTGTCTTTTCACCTGGCGCAGCACCTGGCCAAAAACATGTCCCACCCAGGTGGGACCGTCGACTCACCCGCAAAAAGTCCTGAGGAGTCCTTGGAAGCACCGGACGCTGCTGAAATCGGTGTGAAAGACCGGTGAACAAAAAGTAGAAACAAGAGTTATCAATTCTCCTACACCTGATCCCTACACCTGCAAAGATCCTGTAAAAGACTCTAAGACTCTAATAAAGAAACGAAACCAAAGCTGAACTCATCAGGCATCTCTTTCTGCACTCATGCGCTTGTGCGCCCAGCAACCCCGGAAACGAAGTTCCATGGTGGCACCTGACGCCCAGAGACGTCACAGACCAGCGTGGTCACCATACCATCGGTCTCCTGATGTGGAGGAAAGCTCGATAAGAACGTAATGTAGCCTCTTGATTAACAACCCCCCCCATGTGAAGAGGACTTCCAATTTAAATGGAAGGGTTTACTAATCAAGAGTCTACTACATTATTGAAAGAAAACCTGCAGAGACTCGGCCTTCACCTTCACCTGCACCCAACTACAATTAGATATCATCACATACAATATTAATTATAAGATTGCCAGAAAAATAAAGTAAAAAGAAATAATACACCCTTTTGGTTTTGCCGCTTTCTATATGCGCTTTCTTGTGCAAGTGGCATGGCACCAGTCCTTGGGGCCGTCAGAAGGTTGCAACAAGCACTGGTCCGTGTTCCAACTCCTCCACACTGAGCGGAGTTGGTCTTGAAAGAAAAAACGGTGTGAAAATAAGTTTTTCACGGTCCGGTCCATGCTTCCTTTTCCGTTCAAAGTTTGCCAAGTCTCCCGATGGCTGAGCAACATTTCCCGGTCGCTGGATCTCGATTCCTGAGCCGTTTGAAAACTGCTTCCGGAAAAACAGCATCTTCGGTTCAACAAAAATGAAACACATCAAAAAGGAGTTCCCTTTTTCTATGGGGTTCGGTTGCAGGCTCCGTTGTGGCTTCTACCCAGACCTCAGAAGTTGTCAGCTCAGCCTAGCCAAAGGGTTTGATGGTTCACACAACAGCTAACCAATTCTTCAGCCATTTCTCTGTAGCCTCTTTCCAATGGGCACGTCTACTTTTCGTGAAGCCACAAAGAGTGTGATTTCAGAGTGCGTGGCCTTCCTTCCCGACGGCATCTCTACTCCAGTGTCTTTCCATCACCCTCATCGCCAGGCCCCCCAGCCGCGCGTGCCATTTTTGTCCCTGACTGGCAGGGAGGGAGTCGGGGAGTCAGGCGTGGTGGCTGGAACGAGCACTACAGATTCGTTCCCAGGCAGTTTCCAGCGAAAAAAAGCGTTTAGACATGGAACAACCACCATGCGAAAATTCTTCTGAAAGCACCCAGCCTTGAAACCGAAAAGCAGTTCGGCAGCAGCCACATGGACCGTTAGGCAGCGAGATCAGGTGACACCCGTCTGAAACCACATGTGACCATGATGACCCGAGCCACACTGGAGAGCCCTGGAGAGCCTTGGACACCCTTTTGCGCAGCCTTTGGAGGCCCCCGCCTCTCCATGAAGCCCCCGGAAGTTGCTCAACGGTAGGTCGCAGGGCAACAACGTGGCTGATCCTCGGGCAAGTCACGCTGACGCAGTAGGGAAACCGCGTAAAGCTCGAGGAAAAGAAAGTACATGGAAGTACGGAGTCCAGTGGGATCCAAAGTGTGGTACAAGATGTCTTCCGTCACTTAGGGAGTCTCAATCTCTATCAATCTCTTAGAGTGAGATACTCCCCCGTATGAGGACGTCGCGTGTGGAATGAAATTGGACCTGGCCACTTTATCCACTTCTAAACTAGTCCAATCAATGAATAAATCGCTGAAGATCAGTGCACCGGCTGCATGTCACGTTGCGACAAAACAATCAACTAATCAGTCAGTTGAGATCGGTGGCACAAGCGGTCTAGCAGTGTGGCTACTTGCACAATGTGAGTCAAGAGAAGTGCGCTCTTGGCCACAATTCTCGGCCAGCAATTCTTCACAAGCTTGCTCAGACTTGGTCACACTAAGCTAGGTCTCTCTTCTCTACCCAACTGCAGAGAATCTACCCATGGGTGTCCGGAGATTTTCTCAGTGCATGGTTCCAAGAGATCTTGGGTTGGGTGGGTCAACCGAGTCGGCTGCAGACCGACCAGCTCGAGGTCGGGAGAATGGGTTCCCGTAATCCGCTCCTCGTCCCTGCGGATGCGTTCCCATCGGGCCCAGGAAGGTGAGGCAGTAGCCGGAGTTCACCTGGTGGCCGGGGTTGCCACAAACAGCAGGCCATCAGGTGGCCATCCGAGAAACAGCCTGGCTGCAACAATATTGGACAAGCTAGTCGCCTTGCCCATGCAACCAGTCAACCATCTTGTTGGGTTTGAATGGCAGTGTGACTTGCCCCAATATGTGTAGAGATATAGAGGTGGTGATTTTTCTTGATCCAAATGACAAATGAGGGCACAAAAAATCAGCGGCATTCTTTATCCAGCAGCATATAGACATCCCCTCACATGGGTCAGGGGTGGTTGTCCTGTGCAGTCGCAACGAAAGATTATTATCCTTCAGAATCATATGTTTAGATCCTCAGATAAGGTCACGTGTGTCCCAGTGAACCTCGCGAAGTTTGAAGACCTCCTTCGGAAGCAAGCCACCCTCGACATAGATGTCACCTTAACGTTCCCATCGCGAGGTGTGCGAGGGGGGTCTTGTGTTGGGGGAACCCTCTTTTTCCTAGTTTGGCACTGGAGACCATTGGACACCAGCCCATATATAGACACCCAAATCGTCCGAAAAGTAGATGCCCGCTCATTTTTGTATTGGAAACCCGTGTCTTATCTATTTCGACCACCAGACTACTCAGCGTAGTGACAGAGGACGTCCGAAAACTGCAACCTGGAAGTTCTCTTTTTGGGTCCAAGAGAGGTGTGGGCAACACCCAGGTGCCGCACGCCGCACGCCGCCCAACCGCCTCTCACAGCTCCTGAGGGTCTCGCGAAAGCGCCACAGAAACCAGGCGAAGGGTCGACAGTGCAAGCCTCGGTGGCGGTTTTCAGCCTCGAGCCATCAAACCAGGAGGCTTTGCGTTCAGAGCTACGTTTTGCTACATTTTGCTTCCAAGAAACATCAAAAAAACCTCTGAAGAGATCAAACTCCCTAAGAGTTTTGTTGAACTTGGACCCTGGACACTTGGAATACCTGAAATGGCTCAAAGACAGCTGTCTCTGGCCAGTGGTCATTCAGGTTCTCAAGTTCCGTGTCTGGTCAGTTCCTCAAAGGAAGACCAAGGATCTTCCTCCACCCACCTCTTTGAAAGACTTGACCCATGACGGGCAAGTGAGAAGGAAATCCTATGGATTTCCTTCTGAATTCATCAAAAAATCTTCGGAGTTCCCGTGACCGCCCTGTGCTTGGCGCCTTTGGTTCTCCCATCCTGGGAAAAAAAGGAAGAAAACCACCCCAGCTGTCGCCACTCATCTCTATGTGGCACCTCTCGCGAAGTGTCGAATTTCCAAAGGGTGATCTACCATCTGCGACTGTCAAGGCATGGGTTTCTCACCATCGGCGCCACCGTCATGGAAAGCCTGAAAGAAAACCCAACCAGCGCGGTTGAAGCCATGAACCTCTTAGCAAACATTAGTATACATTATAAAGCCATTTAAATGAACCCAGACAGAATCCATCAGAATCCCATGCTCATACTCCTCTGGTCTTCTCCAGGCAACGCTTTTTCACCTCCTCAAAATTGCTGACGTCTTGGTTCATCTCCACCTGTCCACATGTCAAATCGCAGCACTTACAGGACCTTTTTTAGTGGTCTAATAAGGAGTCCCTTGCGTTGACACGAACGATGTGACAGGCCAGGGCGTTCCATGCGAGACAAGTGCTTGCTACGGAGACAGTCCCACCAAGCTTCAATCAGCCTGCCTGTTTGCTTTGTCCAGACAAAAGGCCTCAGCTGCAAACAGACCAGGCGGAACAAACAGAACCTTGAAAGCCCTCATGGATCCAAGGAAAGCTTCAGGCCAACAGGCAGCCAGGGAGGCATCCAACCGCTGGCCGACCAAACAGACTGAAAGTGCTGACCAGAGAGGACACGCACTACTAGACTGTGTCAAATTCAGAAAGAACAGTAAACCCCAACAACCCTGGTAGTCTTGTGACCTGAAAACCAGAAGGTCCGGTCAATCCTCTTCCGGAAAACCGACCCGCCGGTGACACTCATCTGACCCGTTTGACCCATTGGGTCGTCTCGCGGGGTCGGTCTACCAAGTCTCCGCACCCACGTACCTGAGCCGAGGAGCACCGACTCGCACCGGCCAAAACGGCGAGAACAAACATCACCCGTTCGAGTTTCAAACTGGCAGAGTCTGCCCAGAGTCGAATGCAACACTTTGAAGAGAGCAGATTAGTTAGCGGTTGAGGATTCCTTGGGCGATGAAGAGAACGAAACCCTTGAAGCGTTTTTCACAAAGGCACCCTACCATCGAAGAGCCCTATGTTGAGGGTCAGTAGTGAACATAATCATCTTTCTGAAAGAATAGTAGAAGCAATTCAAATGAAACAGCATCACTATATATTTATATATGTGTTGCTGCCCAATGCCACTGACCGAGTTGCTGCATGGTGGGATACTCCGCGGCCTTTTCTCGATACTCGTCGTACCACGCCAGGACTGCTCTGGCCTCATCGGTTTCACCGAACAAAAGTCACGAGACTTGGCGGTCGGTCCGTTGGGCACTCTAGCAGCCTTGAGTCCAGAATGCGGAAGGCATGTTTCAACAGGTCTTTTTCTATGGTGACTTATGGTGCTGAAACGTGATTGATGGTGGAAAATGTCATTGGTTCATATTGATATATATATATATATATACAGTATCTCTTGATCCGTATGCTACGAATTAATCGGCTGGCGAGCTCAGCGGTAGGCGTTTCGACTGGTGATGCTCGAACTTCAGGCTCACCAGCCTTGTTCCTGATGGAATCCAGCCCGGAGACCGCGTAGTTCTGTTTAGTTCGGGGATCTTCGTTCCTTAGAAGTTCGGCTGAGAAGGATTTGGCGCCCCCAAAAGTTGCAAGCTCGACGCCTTATGGGAAAGACGAAGCCAATGGGCATACACAGTACAGTAAGACATGTCAACAACGACAATAAGACATGTCCCCAAAACCCCTTCCGACAAGAAGGAACATCGCAACTTCAGGGGTGGAAAACATGTTCAACGATGGTGCCTGTTCGACTCCCAAAAAATCAGCCCTTCCATCGCAGGCATCACCGCTCACTCTTCGCAACTAAGGTGAGTAGGGCTCATGGAATGTGGGCGGGCGAACGACATCGAATCCAGGTTCACCTACCCAGCGATGGGAAGAAAACCCTGGTTCACTTGAAAAAGAACAAACAAACACCGCGACCGAGTCACTTGCGCCACATGTGTGCCACGAAGGCGTCGGACAAAGAGACGATCTCCCCCCCACAGAGCCACGAACGCAAGGACCTCGGTGGCCCGAGGACCGCGCCGATGGAGGACGGCGAAGGCGAAGCGATGGAGAAGGATCCGAGCTCGTCAGGATCAAGACATCCCCCCCTTGTGCAGAGGTTTTAGTTAGGTAAGGAGGATATCAAGACCATGGAGGAATGCCTGGAGGTGTGATGGCGCTCCTTGATTTTCGGATAAAAAAACGGCCCAACTCAGGCGCGGGGAAACTGAGCTCAGCACTGATCCACATTCTCACCGCCCCATCCAGACATGCCCTCATCATAGCCTGGCTTGAAAGAGCTCCGCCCTCGGCACTCCCAATCTGTTCTTCTGCTGAACCCATGTAACTGGCGCCAGAACCCATGACCATGACCATGACTGACCCCAACAAAGCCAACTCCCAACCATGACCCAACTGGCCTGTGCCCTCCCAACCGACCTGTGCCCGTGCCCGTGCCATTCGTTCCGCACCTCCCGTTTCGTTCCACCAACGTCGGGAGATCCCTAAGAGGCCACCCGACAAGACGGGCATGTAGGGTGAGGTGCTCTCCTGGGGCGGATCCAACGAGTGTGGTCGGTGGACATGGGGCGGTGGCTGTCTGCATCAGCGGCGTGGTTCTGCCTGGAACATCGAAATACAATAAACACACAACGTGGCGCAACTTGGCACTTTCTTCAAACTGTTTGTGTTCAACAAAAGAGTATATGTGTATAGTTGCTTCAAGTTTTGCATTTGCCCACACCAACCTTGAGAATCAGCCAAGACCTTCCGGACCTTTACACAACTACCCAACCTACTGGGCCAGCTGGAGTCCATGGAGGTAGCAAAGCATCCATGGAGGTCCATGGCTCACATGCCGGTTGTTCAATCATGGAATGTGTGGGCAGCTTGGGAAATCTGGAGCTCGAGGCTTGAGAGACGTTTCTCCAGTCAAGGCACTACCCACTTGAAGTCGGCATCCCAGGTGAGATAACCTCAGCACAAAGGCTCCATCATGTGTGGAATTCAGAGTGTAGAAATATCCAGAACCCACTCGCCAAATGCTACTTTGCCATACTTGTCACAATGCCATCGTACATGCACAAGACGGATCTTCAGATGCTGGAGGCATCTTTCTTGCCTGACTTCTCTTGGTCTTGTCTATTTGATTCACGTCAAGAGTTGAATAGAAAACATGGAGGACAAAAAACAGGAGCACGATCTGGAACTTGTGAAAAGGTTCACTCTCACCCCTCACCCCTCACCCTTGGGGAAGAGGGTTACAGAAGTGACTTCATAAAGGGATTGAAGATGTCGTGGCCAAACGGATTGTGGTCCTCAACATCTGGTGAAGAGCTCTCCGGTGAAGAGCCTTCGTTCTGCGAGGTGAAGAGCCTTCGTTCTGCGAGGTGAACGCGAGAAGGGCCAAGAAACACTTGGCCATGCCTTGATTTCGATTCACCTCTTTCCAGGTGTCGATGTCTAAGTTGGTAATGACCTTGGAAGGCAAACAGAGGATGGGCAAACAGAGAAGCTCCAGGTGGAAGGATTCGGCCGTGTTGCGAGTCCTTTCTCCAAAAAAAAGCAGCTTGAAATGCAGGTCTATGAGATGTGCCAATCAAATGCAGGGCAGTGCTTTCCGAATGAAACAAAGAGTGTTTCTATTTACCAGCTCTCTGGTGCTGGACATACAAAAGAATCAGCATGATGCCCTCTTAGATTGCTTATACAAGTTTGTTTAAGTTGCCTCTGTCTGTGAGGCAACAAAAATAAATGTACTGAGGCAATAGGTTTGCACGCTTCGTCTCTAAGTGGCCAACAGGAACGACAATCCGTCGATAGTTGTCTCTGATGCCGTCCAAGAACTTTTGATACCAGTCCTCCTTTCCGTGATCTGCGTGATCTGCGTGATTTCGCGAAAGTTAAAAACCGTTCCAGGCTATCAGGCTGTCCGAAAGACCTTCCAACATGCCATGCGTGACACAGCCGGCTTTCCGTGTTCTTCCGGTTCCTAGAGTCTTGCGTAACTGCAATGGATCTTGCAAAGGAAGAGAAATCCTCTTGCAACAAATGAGACTCCAAGCGATACTTTTCGAAGTCCAAGACCATGAGACCGAACGAGTTGCCTTCCAGAAGCCAACACGGGCAAAAAAGAGACCTCTGGGATCCATCGCTGAAACAGCATGGAGACTCCACAGTGAAGTGAGACTTGCTCCTGTGGCGCCACATGACAATCGAAGAAGACGATCACGTCCCCAGCCGCCTGGCTTGCACCTGACGGCCACCAAGTGGCGTCCAAATCGATGAGCGAACAAAGAAGGTGTCGGCCAAGAAAGCCCAAGAACATGAATCACACAGAATGTGTAAACTAGCAGCAATTATGAATGACACACTACACACCACAATATCTACAAAAATCACCTTTTGCTGCAAAAAACTTGGCGGCATCATGTGAATGCTACAGATCCGCCCCACTCACATCGCGTTGGCGGCCTTGAAACCCCTTTCTTCAGAAGCAAGACCGAAGAACGGCTCAGATGGGAAAAAAAGGACTGGGGACCTCCGAAGCTTCCTCCCAACTCTTGGGAGTTGGCACGACGTTCCGCCCATGGATCGGAGCCTGCCGACTTGGCACCCATGAGCCCTACTGGCGACTCATGGCGCACCAGCTTCAAGGGGTACCTGATGGAGACGAAGGTCGACCGTGGAGGGCGGCGCCCGCCAGTGGCAGCGCGGCAAAGAACGCCATCTGTCAGGCTACAAGGACTTCTCATTTTTCCTACAAGGAGTACTTACTGGTCCAATCATGGAGACACAGATGTTGCATTGTGCAGCTCTTGGGGGATTGTCCCTGTATTTGCTCTACATAGGAGATGTGTTTCGGTCTTTTTTCCAAGTGTAAAAAGGAAAGCAAAAGCAACGACTGCGGGAAAGTCACCCTTCAAGTTGCCAATCATTTGTCTACTTGCGAGATTGTGCTTTTCAGTCTTGAAGATGTCTTGCAGCCTTTGGAACACTCTGGACCGCCAAGACTGGTTGGGGGTTGTGAGCATGAGATGTTCCTCCACATTTTCAAACGTCCAGGGCACTTCTTCTGAAACTTCGCCGTCAGGAACTCCTGTCGGACGGTTTTGCGCAGGTGCGAAAAAGTCTACGAAGCAGTTGAACCGCGGTACAATTGGTGATGGATTTGCTTCAAGCTGAAGGTTCAAATCAAACCTATCCATCACTAATGGAACGCGGTTCAAATGCATCACCAATCGTTGGTTCTATCAAACTGTGTTCATCTGTTTTCGATGGAGATTAGGAAGAACCGCGCGCCCTGTATCGAAGGTGACTCCTCGCTCAAAGGTGGCTTGCTACCATCATCCACCACCTCAGCACATCGTGCGTTGAACGTTCAACGGATGGTGCTCTTGTTGTGTTGTAGATCATTGAATCTTTCTTCAACGCTGCAAAGGTGGCAGCTATTGTTGGGGGGCTGCCAACACTTGCACCCCCCCCCCCGGCATGTTCGGTCATGATATCTGAGGGTCATGGTTTCCGTCTGGTCAAGTTTCGTTCCACTGAGCCCGACACCACGATATCCTCCAAGATGCCACCAGCGATGCCACCCGGCACCGACCGTGACACCGATTCCACCGTCCTCACCACGGCGATGCGACGGATGGACGGACGGACCAGGCACCGTCGCTCCACGTCCAAAACCGGTCGGATCACATGGATCCCAGCTTCTGCGAGACATGCAGTAAAACGATGGGTCGGCCAGGTGGGGTACCCAACTATGTGGTCCAAGCTGCATGACCCAAACCCAAACCCGCTACACGAAATATCCGTGCCATGTAGAGACCTCATGTTTTCCCCGCTTTTCTTCGTCTCGAGGGATCAAATCCTGTCAAGGCTCTTTTTGGCAAACAAACCTTCTCCAGCACAAGGGAGGACCACCGAAATGGTCTTTGGTGTCCAGCGCAAGGACTCCTGACAATGTCCACACATGCTTGGGCATTGGACACAGCACATTCAGAGAGCCCCAGTGGACGTTCACCAGATGCGAAAGAAAAGCTCTCCTCCACTGGTCGGAGCTCATGGTTCTGTGACCGAGATGTGGTGGTTGCCTGAGGGAGCTGGCCGCTCAGCAGTTTCCATCAATGAGCTCCGAGCAAGTTTGAAGGGCCCATTTCTGGGGCATTCAGAGTTTTGAGAGCCATCTGACCTCGAAGCGTGGCGAGTATTGAGTATATCAGAATATCGGTATATCATGGTAAATCCCATTACGGCCCAGTGGATGATGATGATTAGTAACGGCCTTTCTATAAAAATCTGCTGGTGATGTGACAGGCCGCAAGGCTAAGTATTGATAGACAAGCACCAAGTGAGTCCTTTTGAAGCACCCCCGGGATGGGATCTTGCACAAAGTCTCCGTGCGACCGCTGCTGAAAAATCACCGAGAGGACGCGGGCGGACTGTCTGTGCGGTCGCGATCTGTGACCGAATCAATGCGAGCGCCAATCGTGGTATGGAAAAGGCCGGCGCCAGCTTTTCGTGCCGTCCTTGAACAAAGTCACAGTCAAAGAGCAGCGGTCCGTGGTGCCCTCCTACTAGCCACGCTAGCCGCACTTCTGGCGCCCCAAAATACATGCTCCGAAGCTCGAACGAACCTGCTGGACCCCCAGGCCTTTGTCAGCCGGTCACCGTCATTGCGTTTGGGGGCAGGTATAGCTCGTTCCTCCGGCACGGTCCTCGCACCCCCAGGTCGCGGCGCTCCCCACTCGGTCGCTGCCTCTCGTGGGCGCGACGAAGAAGACCGCGGGTGGGGCCGCGGCTGCTCCGCGGCGCCTGGCCGGTCTAGGCACACCGAGCAACGGAACGGTCCGTCGGTTCCACGACATTCGCGCCCTGGTGGACCGGAAAGAAACCGTTCGAAGCGGTTTCAGAAGGGAAAGAGGGTGTGATATGTGTCATATTGTGTCGTGATGTATCAAACACACGTGCAAATGGTATCTACGGATGATTAAGAACATGTTTGAACGATGAGCAGAGTCTTGTGAGACACACTCAGCAGTCTCCTGAAAATGTCTGAGAACAAATGTGCGAGAAACCTCTCAGCTGAATTGCTGGCCGATGGACTTCTCATTCAGTAGACTACTGGACTGCACCAAAAAGTAAACACAAGCTGCACTGTTTCACCTCCATGTTTGGACCGGATGGTGTTTGTTCTGGCTCATGTATGTAACTGAGTAGTTTCAAGGACGGCCTTGGCTGTTAGCCACACTGGTGGTGCTCGTAGAAGTGCTTGGCGAACTGCTGGCACTATTGGTGCTCACCAGCCACCCAGCAACAACCGCCTTGCTCCGCTGGCAAACGGCAAACGAAGGATTTGCCTCCATTAATCTTCAAGACCTTTAAATGGCAGCAGTCCCCTGGGTATCCTGCCATATTACATGGTTTAAACAACAGTGACAGAATTCAAGATGAAGTGACTGCGGTCAACTTGGCTCGCAAACCCTTCAATCCATACTCCCTGTCAGCTCCGCTCTTCGCCCAGCCGCTACAATCGCCCCAGCCAGAAACCACAGCCAAAGCTTGGGCTTGGAGTCCTGACACCAACATCACGTTGCAAAAGCCTTACCTCCTTGCCTTGACCCCTCGTCTACAGCTCAAACTTGGCATCCTTCTAGCTTCTAGCTGTGTCAAAAACACCCAGGTCTGATGGACACCCAAGCTCCGAGGCCTTCTCAACTTCTTTGACCTTGACTTCTTTCGGCTCTTTCACTTTGGCCTAAACCCGCACCGGCTTTGTTTTGCCCTTTCGTTGAACGCATAAGGCATTTCAAGCGCCAGAACGTGTTCAAAAAGCACCGCAAGGGTATGTCACAGACCAGCTCAAGCAGGTGCCTTTTTTTGAAATCAAACGGTGTGTCGCGTCGGTGTGTCGCGCTGGTGTGTCGCGCCTTGCCCATGGTTCAGTGTCTCAAGATGGAGCCTCGAAATGCAAGCCCCTTGGGACGAAAAGCTCCAGTTGGTGGAATATGGGGGTTCTATAGTGCATTCCTCAAACCTGAACTGTCATCGCGGTCAAATTGTAGCTAACGGATATGATCATATTTTTGGGACGGTCCAACAGCCATGTTCCTCAAAAACGGAGGAAGAGGATTCTGGTGAGTATCAAATGATAGGACTATGGATTTGTTTTGTGAGGGCACCCCCATCCTACCGATCCCCAAGTGGCCCAATATTTGGAAATCTGCATCATCGCTTACCCATGATGCCTCTTCCCTCTGTCGACCACGGCGTAACACACAACGCATTGACTCAAAACGTAAATTGGGAACACCCCAAGGTGACGAAGACATGTGTCATTCTTTGGAGACACCCCAAGGTGAATTCGTTTGGACATTGTTCTGGTTTCGTGGTTCATATTGCGAAAGTCAGGCCGAGGAACTTGGCTCCACCTCTCCAACATGCGTTTCATCTCGACCATGGCTGTCTCCAAACACAGCACAAGGACTGCACGCGTCAGCAGCGCCGTCAGCTTATGCGTCAGCTTGTTAAGCGTCTGTTCTGACGCAGTTCTGACGCAGAGCTGCTGTTGTGTGACTCGGTGGCGCTGCTGAGGCTGAAAGTACTTTGGGGGGAGAAAATTATGAGGCTCCGTCGTTTTCCGTCGAGACCTCGCTGTGAGGTGGTATCTCCTTCTCCAAACAATCCCAGGATGATCGAGGTCGCATTTTTCAGCCTAGTGGCCTTGTGATAGAATGTTCGAGCTCTCAAGCATAGATAGCATGGGTGTGTTCCCTGAACCTTCATATTCCAGCGCTGTTCCTTGCTCGAGCCGGAAAAGCCACCAGTCAGCCCGCAGAGCCGATGCAGGTCATGTGTCCAGTCCCAATGGACCGTGGACCGATGGACCGACCGATGCGCGGTCGGGCCTCTGCCATTGGAGGGGGCCGCCTAGGTACGCACGTCGCATGTCGCATGGAGTGAATCAACCGTTTCCACGGCGGAACTCCCGGCGGTCGAACGGCTTTTTCGGCGAAGCATCTGGAAGTGGCGAACGGCGTCGTGTTGGGCTTAAAGAAAGAATCGGCTTCATAGCTTCCATGTCTTTGGGACATCTGGAGGTGTTGAATGCAACACTTCTCAGCCCACCACCTGGAGATCTCCGCACATCTTCGTCGGATGTTTGGGCGGCCCGGGTTTGGGGTGTGGTAGATCTGCTGGCCAAAGCTGTCTGTGGCGGTCGCCGGAAAAATGACTGCCAGAGAACAAGTGGGAAAACCTCAATCTTTTCTCAAATCTTCGGATCTCTTTCGTGCAGGACCTTGGAATGAAAAATGCCAACTTCTCCCTGTTCGTCCTTGTGTTTCCTTGGTCCAAAATGCTTTGGCTTTTCGGTTAAGGCCCAGTGTTCCATTGGTTTGAGGGGATCTTATGTCAAGCTCTTCGCGCTGTCTCAAGGTCCAATGTTGCAGCACTGCAGGACAGAACACAGCTTGGGCCAAAGCAAATTGACAGCTCAATTTGACGACAAAAAAACCATCCAAAATAGAAGTTGTTTGCAGGTGACACGGAACGCGTGGCTCAATTCACCTTTCAGGTGACACGCGTTCTAGTCTCACTTGCCGATGGTGCTTTCAGTGACACCTTGTGATGCTATCTTGAAGCACAATAGTAGACTGGATGCAAAGTAGTCATGATCAACTGTCGCTCAACCCGAGGCCCCTTGTTACGACCAGCAACACCATGGACCACTTGGGGCTGCCGACGTAGGTCGCCGCGGGTCCGACAGTCTGGGTCCGACATCGAAAGTGGGTGAACACCGTATGGTGGAAGGAGACATCCTCGTGGTTGAACACCACAGAGGTGTAGTATATCCTGCTGAGTTCCCGGGCCCTTATGAAGACTGGTCACCCAAAAGAAGAATAGTAAAGTGCACAGTTCATCCAGCTTCTCCCTGCTGCCCAACCTATTTTTCCATCACACGTAAGGCGGAGGAGTCGACATTTTCTCCTGACAAAGGCAGAACTGTTCCAAGCAAATCTGATGACAGGCTTTCCTTAGCATGTTGCATAGGTGTGTGTGTGTGTGTAAAGTATAATATATATATATTGATTTATTTAGATATATGTCAGACCCTAAGCTCTCTGCCAAGATTGCCAGATTGGAGACAACAAGGATACCATTCCATTGGAATTTACGGGGAGCCCAAGATGGGGGGATGCAACTATGGACTGCTTACATGCTTCTCTGCCACTTTGACACGAAACACCTGCCATGTTTTAAAAACCATTGTGGGAAGTGCAAATCCAACCCTACCTGTCCAGTTTCCACACATGTCCGTTGCCAAAAGGGAGAATGGTAACGTAGCTAGGGAGACCCGCAACCAGTGGGAGTCGTAGTCGATATTCCCAATTTGCCAGGGATCTTCAATGAAATCGAATCAAATAAATGCATTGCCTCGCCTGAACAAAGACATTGCCTTGCCCAGTCTTGTGTACTCGAAGCTCATCATCGAGGTAAAGGATATCAAAGTAGGGCTTTGGCGGCTCTTTCCTTCGAGTGGGCATCTGCAAACATGCACATTGATATGATCATGGGTTGGCATTGGATACATGCAGATTATATAGACGTGGTTTGCCTTGTACATGTTGTCTTGGTTCTTACTTGGCAATATTGTTGGCATCCATCAATATGCTATAGACAGAAAGAGTGCTCCAAACAGCTGAATGTTTGCGTGCAAGTTTGTTTGAGGTGTCTATTTGGCGACAAATTTCTACGTTGCAAAGAAGGCAGGTGCTGTGCATGAGAACCAAGTATAAAGGCCATTGCTTGTAGGTTGGAGGCCATCGCTATTAGGTTGCAGGCCTACTAGGATGGAGGCCATCGCTACCAGGATAGAGGTCATTGCTTGATATTGCTTGTAGGTTGGAGGCCATCGCTATTAGCTTCCTTTTGCTATTGACATCCTGACAGCTGGACAGGGCAAACCTTTCCCTTCCGTCCCTGCCTGGTAAAGAAGGTGATGATTCGGGTGAGAAAGGGTCCGGGCACCGGCAGGGTGAGGGTCAGCCGCCGCGAACCCAAGGAGATGCCGAAGAACTTGGTCAAGCGAATCTTGACATATCCTTGGCGACCCGGTCAGCTGCCGGGGCTTGGAGCCTCCGATCACTCTGGAGGCACTCTGACTCGGCCCTGAACCCAACCAGCTCTGACTCTGGGTCACCACAACCACTGAATACATGCCACCACATCATGGAAGGGAGGTGATCATGTCCAAGAAATGAGCTTTATCCAGTTTAGTCACAGATTCTTTTGAAGTGGTCGTTGTCCAAGGCCGCTGAACGTGGCCCTGGACCCAACCATTTCAGCGGGACAAAGAGGGTGTTTGATTCACCCTTCAGCGGATGAAGACCATAAAACAGACCTTGACTCAGACCACCTGGTGATGTTCAATGAAGACACAAAACCCGAATGTAGGCTCTTGATTACAGAAACCCTTCGTTTGAAAAACCTCTGAACATATCCAGTGGTTTATGAATCAAGAGTCTATGTTAGATGGTAAAATCGACAGGAAGACTCTCTTCCCTACCTTCGAGCCCCTGATCTCGATGGCTCTCCTACCTCCCCCGATCTCGGAGCGAGCAGTTCGCCAACGGCAGCTGCGGGGCGAAACATCAAGCTCAAGCGCGACATGCTTTCAGCTTCCGCGGTCAGACGCACCCGCAAGCATTCCGCCGCACCACTGTCGAAGTCGACGCAGTTCGTGACGGTGCCAGCCACAGCATCTACGACGTTGCTGACCTTGAAAGTCTGAAGGACATGGCCCAGTAACAAGAAGCTACTAGGAACAAGGGGCATCTGCCGAAAAAGGAGCCCAGAAGCTCCACCACTTTTCCGGCTTCGAGCGAGAAAAGAGGCTCCTTTCTGGGGAACAAGTCTTTGGGCGAGGTTCGTGACGCACCCACAAGAGTGGAGTTTCTCCGGGAAACCTTCGCTGTCCCCCTGGTGCTGTTCCGGGTGAAGGTGGCATCAGCAGCCGTGGTGAAGAGCAAACGCCAGGGGCCATGCAGCAGGCAATCCGTCGCAGCGCGCTCCGTCCCAAACCTTCAGCAAAAAAGAGAACAAGGTACGACATAGTACCCTTCTTGCACTTGATTATGCCCCTCTGGCTGCTGCTGACAAGAAAGTTGGGTTTACGGACTGATGTCATACACCTGATAAAGCATGACAAGGGTTCGGAAAAGCAACTCAAACACTCAACCACTTGTCGACTGGATGTGCAAAATGATTCTGAAAACCCCACTGGCGTTGAAGTCAAGCCACTCTTTCAGAAACTCCTGCTGTGGAGCTCCACTAAGGAGCTCTACCTTCTTCAAGACCTCTTCAGCTCTTTCAGCCAGCGCCTCGCTGGCCCGGCGGAAAGCACCGGAAGCCACCAGATTCGTCGGTGCGCGGTCCTTCTTGTCAAGCTCACCACCTGCGCCAAAAAATAAAACAGAAACAGCTCGGCCAATCCAACTGGTCTGTCTGAAAATAAGGGACGGGAAGATGGGAGAACCCCCCCGATGGTTTCCCTACTAAAACACACACCAATCACCCATGTGTTGTGAATTCAAGGGGCGGCTCTTCAGCCTTCCTGTTGTTGTCACCCCGCTGGGCTGAGGCTCGATATTTTAGTTTTAGTTGGAGAGGAATGGCCTCCAACCTAATAGCAGGACTCTTGAAGGAAACTTAAAGGAACCTAATAGCTTCCAACCTAGAAGCAATGGCCTCCAACCTAATAGTGATGGCCTCCAACCTACTAGCGGTGGCCTCCAACCCAATAGCAAGGCCTCCAACCCAATAGTGATGGCCTCCAACCTAATAGCGGTGGCCTCCAACCTAATAGCGGTGGCATCCAACCTAATAGCAATGGTCTCCAGCCTAATGGCAATCGTGCAGAGGAGAATCTCATGGACCTGGTCACGCTTTGTTTCCTTGAGCCCTTCGAAATCTTTTGCATCGAATATCAACCGGCCTTTGACACCAAAGTCAATTGAGAGATCACTTCGATTGAGCTCCTGCTTGAAAGCATCGATGGCCTTCAATAACTCCGCTTTCGCAACCTTGGGTCTTGGACGTTCAACTAAATTGAATCATGAACTTCATGAACCAAAAGGCTAAATGGTTTGGTGTCTTACGAAGAACTGCACCAAACATGTTTGTTTGTTTGTTTCAGGTCTTTTCACATTCGCACCCGTGGTATCGCCGCACACCAATGCATCGTGGCGATCTGTCTTCTATTTTCGAGCTGCTGGAATCTCCAGGTCGCCCGCTTTCCGCACAGATCGACGGCTCAGACGGCTTGGCTGACCTTGTGACACAGCGCGCGCGCGGAGCGGCGCGCCGTCCCCAAGCGCGAGTGAGGCACAGCGGTCCGGCATGTGAGGCACAGCGGCTTGAGGAACAGAAAAATAAGATGGAACCACCATGAACAATGTCCCAGCTGGGCTTCTGGTTCAGTCTTCAGAGTGCTGGGCTTCTGTCCTGAAGTCACCCAGTGAAGTCCTCCAGATCTCAGTGAGTCATTCCAAGAAGTCCCAGGAAGTCCAACTGGAC